ATGATTATTTGATAATGGCACTGACTACTGATGTATGAGGGTGAAAGGAAACAGTCTAGGTAGGGTGAATAAATGGAGAAGATCAGGAAAGTGTGTGATGGCCCAGGGTTGGGTACCCCACACAACTGTTAGAGCCTGTACAGGATATAATCTAATAATTTATCAAAGTTACTGACAGAAGGCAGTGCAATGTCAGTCTGAATTTTTTTTTCATAAAGACCATATCTTCACTTAACACTCTCCGTGCCAAAAGAGGTTTGCTTAGCCATGGTGTGAAGTATTTTTCTAAGTGTGGTCCAGGTCTTGCTGGTCGTTGATCTTCTTCACACTCTTGAAGTATTTTTAGATTCTGTGTCTTCCTTTTTTCTAAAGCTTCCATAGTTAGGCTCCAAATCAATGTTAGGTGAAAGGCATGACAAGGAGAGTCAGTAAATGACAGCCTTCAGGGTAATCCTAATGAAATTTTTAACTTGAAAATTACTTGTGAAAAGACTTCACAATCTCTGGAATCACATGTAAATTATATGCTAATAGACTTTTAGCTTAGCAAAGTATTTTATACAATTAGTTGAAACATGTATTGTGCCTATTGCCTTATAAAGTGTTTCTTACTACTTGTCAAAGTTGAATCCTTGAAATATACATGCAAATAGACTTTTGGTAAGATAAATTTTATTTTCCATTGGTTTTCAAAATAATGTCAAAGGGTGCTTTATCTGTATTTTAATTAATTATAATTATGGGTGATATGTTTTGAGAATGATAGTCTTAATTTTCTATAAGGCTCTGTTTTTTTCTCAAATATCTCTATCAGATTGTTAAACAAATATTCAAGTGACCAAAGTTTCATATTTTTAAAATCCTAGCAAATTAATGAAAAAAAAGATTTTTGAGCCATATAATTTAAAATCATAGTGGATAAGAGAGACAAGAGAAAATTTAAAGACATTGCCTTTGTCCCACCTTGGGCTGAGATGTTGGCACAGGTCAAGCCACAGCTAGTTACCAGGCCTTGGCATTTTTCTGCTGTGCATGTGGTGGTGCTCAGTTATCAACCAGTATCCCTTATTTTATTCCACTCCCAAGGTAAGTATAACCAATGCACCTTTCATGGTACAGGTAAAAGGTCTCCCCCTGCAACTGCATCCTGAAGTGCTTCATTTAATGTGTGGAATGAAACATACTCAAAGTTCCTGTGAACCATAGCAATGTGTGTAAACATCTTAACTAACCCCCATGTTCCCCATTCAGAGGCTTTACCATAGTTTCGTTGGAAGAGCAAATTATCGCAGCTTTAGAATGTTTTCAGGGTTTTCTTATTCTGATTTATTTGTGTTGAGACATGCTCTTATTATATAATTCTGGTCACCTTGAAACTCACTATGTAGAGGAGACTAGCCTCAAACTCAACAGAGGTCTGCCTGCCTCAGCCTCTCAAGTGCTGGGTTTAAAGGTATGCACCACCATGCCCAGCAAATATATTCATTTTATATGCCTTTTCTCTCACTTAATGATATGTAACCTTGGACAAGTCATTTATCCTATAATAACGCTTAATTTTCCCGACCACAAAATGAGGATAATGACTGTACTCATATCACAAGGTATCCACCAAATGCTGTGACACCAAAGTCTCTTCAGTATCTACTGTGTGCCAAGCACTTTATTAAATCAGGTAGACTTCTTAAACAGTGTAAATGCCAAGAGTCTACTTTATGCCTGTAACATTTTCATTTATCAACTTCTTATTGTGATTCCATACTCTATTTTCTATTTGTAGGAATAGAGTAGAATAGAAATTTTCTATTTTTCTCTTAACAGACAAAAAATGTTCTTCTTTAAAGATAAAAATTTATCTTTTTCTTATTGCCCAAGATTTTCTTTTCTTTGTAAAACCAAAAATAAATCTTCAATGCCAGAGAATCCAGTGCTACTCTCTGATCTCCTCAAGCATAGGCATGCACATTTAGGCAAACACTTCAAAAAAAATCATAGAAATTTGTTTAAATAACTATTTGTATGCTTTAGATTTCTGTATATTGTGATAGCTTTAAGCACATAGAACTGGTTAGCTCATTTTAATATAAAAATTGTTGAAAGTTCTAAGAATAAAGCAGAATAGCATGTGTGGTTTAAAATGGGCTGCCATGAAGCTGGAGAGCTGGCTTATAGTTAAGAGCACTGGCAGTTCTTCCAGAGGACCCAGGTTCAATTCCCAGCATTCACATAGCAGGTCACAACTGTCTGTAACTCCAGTTACAGGGGATCTGACACCCTCACACAGACATACATGCAGACAAAAACACCAATGTACATAAAATAAAAGTAAATAACTTTTAAAAGTAGGTAGTCAAAACTTTGTTAAATGTTTGGAAACAGAGGCTGGGGACATGGCTCAGTGGGTAAGGTTGTCTTCTGAGCTCCATGCACTCACTGTGACACACACATTCCTGAACTGGGTCAAACATATACACATATACATATAGATTTTAAAATGTTTGTAAACAATAATAACAAAGCCAGGGTCTTATTTGTAGACAAATTTCTTTCTTGTAAACTCCTATTACTAGACACATGCACACACACACACACACACACACACACACACACACACAGAGAGAGAATAACATTTCTCAACATTGAAAAATCAATAATAAATTCAAAATTTCCAATGGAAATAGAAGATATTTATTTTTATCAATATACATTTTTTTTATAAATATTGAATAGCAATGTGAGGTAACTAATAGTGCTTAGTGTTTTAGTAAGGAACAAATCCCATTTTAAATCATTCATTCAGAAATTAATATTAGCACTTATTATACATAAATGTATTTTGTAATTTTATTTTGGCAAAATTTTTACTAAGAACTTCAATTAATTAAAATATTTTATTTTATTAGTTAAAAAGTTCTCAGCATCTTTAGCTAGTGGATTATTTTATGTTGATGATAAATAAGTAAAGTGATTCACATATATTGGTTTTATGTCTTCACTTTCATTCTCCAAAATGAAACATTGAACATGATCAAGAGACAATCTACGGAATGAGGGGTAAATGAGAGAGAGAGAGAGAGAGAAAGAGAGAGAGAGAGAACATGTGAGAGAGAGCTTAATACCTCAAATCTTTATGGACACAAACAATTCAGTGACAAAGAAGGTTGATTTTAAAAATAGGTTAAGTATCTCAGTAGACATTTTTCTTAAAAAATAAAGGCATACAAGTAGACAACAGATCTATGGGAGGAAACCCTCAAATATCACTAATCATTAGAGTATTATGTATATTATATATAAAAATCATTTCTGTATCATTATGTATATTAAAACCCAAGATGTTGCCTTACAACTATTATAATGATTGTTACCAAGATAAACTGGTAAAAATATAAAAAAAGAGAAATCTTTGTACACTGTTGGTAGATGTATAAATTAGTATAATCATAGAAAACAGTATGACAGTTCAGCACAAAATTCAAAATACAAATATTGTATCTACTAGCGCTATGCATGCACTCACAACTAAGGAAATAAATTCAGTGTATTGAAGGGATAACTGTATTCTGTGTTCATTACAGCCAAGATACAGAATCAGCCTCTATTATCAATAGGTAAATGAAGAAAATATGGAATATATACTAACATGCAGCAGAATACTACTTAATCTTGAAAAAGATCCTGTATTCTACAACATGGATGAATTTGGAGGACATTTAGAGGCTCTGTTAATGCATCAGGAGGGGCTGGGTATTTATATGTTCTCCTTCAACCCATAGTGAGACTCATCAGATTGGTAGCTGTAATGTATTTCATAATCTGGGATCTTGGAGCAGATCTAGCCCCCCCCTGTATAAAGTTAATTTACCCAGATGGAAATTACATCCATTGCATTCACATAATAAAAGTTGAGCCAGCCACAACAAGTATGTATTAAGGCAGGGCACTCTCACAGGCTCACCCCTCCACAGTATTTATAGACAGGTTCTTCACATAACAGTAGAAAATTATGTCAACATAGCCTGTGCTGTCCCTGAAAGGGAGCAGTAACTACATAAAACATACCCACATTTTGAAGCCCTTCAACTCCTGGAGTCACATTTGTTTTGTAGAGAAAAGTTTTCTTTTCTCCTGCTCACTCTGTTTCTGCAAGATGGGGACTTTGGAATCAGCAGCCGCTGTTCAGGAGCACGCAAATATACTGAGATGCACATGTATTTTTGCTGAATCGACTTCTATTGGTGTTGCAGACTAAGCAAATGGGCTGCTGCACTCTTAACTTCCCTCAAGTTTTCTTCATTCTTTTTAAGTTTTCCCTGAAACATCTCACCACATTTACAAGGGATATATCTAAGGTGTTCTTTTTAAGTCCCAAGTGCACTTTAAAAATTCATTTTACTGTTTTTAAATTAATAAACAATGCATGCATGATATGTGAAATAGTTTAGATGCCCTCTTAAATCCATGCATTTATTTTTGCATCTTCTTTTAACAAAGGAAGTAGGTAAACAATAAATTTAGATTATGCTGTTTGTCTTTGTGTGTCCTAAAATTATTAAGTTATTAAGTTATTTTAGCAGTTCTAAGAAAATTAAAACTTTGATGGAAGATGAGCTCAGGTGATCAGGATGTTGATTTGGGAGTGTGTGGCTTAGCAGTTCATTAACTATGTGTTAATTATGTATGATTACTCCTGAAAAGCTATGGTGGCTTCATCTTTTAGGTTGCTTCATTAAATCATTAATTTTCTTGGAGGTAACTAAGCCTGACATAATTAAGTCATCTCAGTCTCCACAGATTTTTATCCTCCCATAATGTCAAAAACTAAGGAATTTAATATATGATGTAACTTATTCCCTTTTTCACATTGGCTTCATATTTTAGATTGTCTGATATTCATTTGATGCATTGTCTTTTTAAATACTTCAATAAATTCATATTTTTAATTGTTTACTTCCTGTGTTGTAAGCCCATTTATGTATTTGAACCCTCCTTACCAACAGTTCTTTGTCTGGAGACTATATGAAGCTGCTTCAGTTCATCCAGAGCATCATTTATACTGAAGGATTTGATGGATCTAATCCCCAGGTACGAGTACTTCAAAGCCTTCTTTAGTCATGTGTATATAGAATGTTGTTTTCAAATCTCTGGGACATGCTGGGAGAGCCTGGAAAAATCAATAATGTGCACCCTGTTTTCACAAACAGTGTGAATGGATAGGAAGTATTCGTATATATCAGTTTTTACTTAGTTCTCAAGATTCACACAAAACAATCACATGCTTTCTCAGTGCTGATTGTCTTTAAATACCTATTTATAGCCTCTAAGATTAATAACTAGTTATGCTTTTTAATTACTTCTAACATTACAAGGTTCATATTTTTCTATTAAAAATGTTCATTTGCTGTTATTCACGTCTTAATTCCAAATTACCTTATGTGTAAGCATTATCACAAGATTTTATACCTTGTTACATTACATTTTGAATTGCTTCATTGAATAAAAGATATATTTTTGCTATATTTTATAGCATAGCTGTTCTCTGTACCTCTAATTTTATATTTTCTCCAAATTCTCAGTTCTGAAGATGTTCCACTTAGTGTAATTTAAACAAATGAAGAAATTTTATTGTTAAGCATCATGCCTTCCAAAGATTTTTCTCAGTGATTTGAACTGCATTTGACACTTAAAGATTTGTATCATTGTATTACTTAAAGATGTGTATGTTATTTTAACAAATGTATCTCCACAGCAGTTATGTTAATGAAAACAAAGAACCTAGAAACTAATTTTTGGCATTTTTATCTACATTGGCTGTTAATTCATAGATTTTAAATTTTTTATCAATTTACTTGCTATTAGTAACAATTTCTCCATAGAAAAATAAACAATTTTTAAACTGATTTTGATTGCCAGTTTATTATCAAGCTTAAAATATTTATGTATATCTGGAAAGCATTTCTTTATAGATAGCATTTAGTGTTTCCCATAGTTTTTGTGTTGACCACTGGTATTTAATGCAGTTTTTCTTCATTCCTTATTACTGCAATTTTTGTTCCTAGCTGAGATTTATGGGGGCCATGTCTTCTTTTGGTGCCAGTGTGCATCTGGAGAGGCAAATTGGTCCCTGACAGACACCTTTCCCTACTTGCAGTGGTAGCTATGGAAACAGGCATGTTATAACAGTTCCTATGGTGCAGTGTGCAATGCTGCTGCTCTTGCAGAATGATGACACTTCTTCTGAAAGCAAGAAATTTATAAGGCACAAGAAAGTAACGGGAATCACTTTACTCTTTGCCAAAGAATATATGCATAAGCTCCTTAAAAACAAACCTCCTAAGAAATGAAGATTGTTCCCTTGTCTATTTGGATGTGGAAAAAGCACACCACTTTCAAGAAACAATTGATTTATTCTTGAAAATTGATAGAACATAAAATGGAGCACATTAGATTCCCTGATGTATAACAGTGACTTCCATAAAGACCAGACAGATTTGAGGTAAACTTTTTATAGTGAATACCAATAATGCTTAAAATTTTCAAATTAAACTTAAACCTACTAATAAGTCATTATAAAAGTAAACTTCCTATTTATTAGAACTACAGTATAGTTGCTAAGTTATTAACTGATGAAGTGTGTTGCTTGGTACATTCCCTGGTGTATACATCTGTCTCAGAAACTGCAGACAAGATCAGGAAAGGCAAATAGTCAATAAGGGGCTCCTTTTAAGCAGTAGTGTTCTTGGGTCAAAATAATATTCTGATAGTGAACTCAATCCTAATTTTTAAAGGGAAATTTTATCTTCAGTGGCCTTTTAAATAAATTGAACTATTTGAATAAAACAGTTAAAATATACTTTATAAAGAAAAGACTATTATCTATTTTTATAGTCTGTAATTAACCTTGGTATTAAGTTAAATTGTGTAGCTCATCTATAAATATATTTGGGTGGAAACATTTAAATATTGCTTCATAATATCATTTCAACATTGATATTTTACTTGGCATATTAGATTAAACATTAGATGTTATGGGAATAAATCTGTGTAACTATCAGCTACATTTTGTACTTCACAAACTAACATCTGAGATAAAGCTTTTTTATCTAACACAAGAGATTCAGCTTTTGGTTCTACAAGTACCATTATATTTATGAAAATATATTCTTTATGTTGAAGTGTTATATTCATTTCTATGGTGTGTACTAAGCACTTAAAGATCTTACCATTCATTCATTATTTGATATAGTGTTTCCATTCCTTCTATGTGTATATGCTAGTACATGTCAGAGTCACTATATATAACTTCTTACTTCATGTCTAAAAGCATTTTAAACATTTAGCATGTTCTTTCTGTTACAATAATAGGCAGTAGGGACCATGTGTTAAAAGACTAGTGATCTCTAGGTTCTAAACACTGCTTCCTTTCTCTTCACATTTCACTCTCCTATTTCTATTTTATCTGTCTTTTCATTGGTCGTTTATTTTGGTAAGGTTCTATTTTCTTGGCAGGGCAGTGCTAGGACTTGAACCCAGGGCATTGCACATACTAAGCCAGTACTGTGCCACTAATCATGTCTTCAGCTTTTATTCCCTATTTCTGTTTCCCCATTTTCTGTCTATTGAGAAACTAACTTAGGCCTGTTTCCATGAGATAACAAGTTTAGAAGTAACAAAACAGGCCTTACTTTTTTACCAATTTACTTAAATTTAAGTTCTTAGTAATAAGAAAACGAAGTGCTGTCTCACTTTTTTTTCACAGATACTGTACATAAATTTGCCGGAAATATACTTGTACTTCCTCTTTTAAATAATTGTAGTAAGGTTTATCTTATTTTACTGTATGTATATGCATGTGTGCGTGTGTGCGTGCGTGTGTGTGTGTGTGTGTGTGAGTGAGTGTGTGTGTGTGTGTGAGTGAGTGTGTGTGTGAGAGAGAGAGAGAGAGAGAGACTGGTGCCCTCGGAAGCCCAAAGAAGGCATCAGATCTCCTGTAGCTGGAATTACAGCTGGTTGGGAGCTATGCATGCAGGTCCTGGGAGGAGAAGGTGCAAGAACAGCACATACTCTAAACCGCTGAATCCTCTCTATACCGCTCCCCCCCCCAATATTTGTGCTTTTGATATCTGCCCCATGCATATTTTCGCCTCATTTTTGTGGGTGATATACAAATACAATTAAATACTTTTTATGGACCAAGATCATAACATATTAAAAGCTAAAAACTTTCATTTGTAGTTAATATATACATTTTTTTCTCATCCTTGGTCTCTACACAATTCAATATAACTATTACCTTTATAATTTCATTTATATTGTATTGTGTATTATAATTTGTTAACCCAAGGATGACTTAAAGTAAACAGGTAGATATGTATATTATATGCAATTACTTCATTGTTGTATATAAAGGACTTGAATATACATAGGTTTTTGGAATCCAAAAATTCTCTAGAATGAGCCCCCAGGTACCAAGAAGTTGATATGGGATTCTGTGTCCTGCACCTTCTTCATAGTCTAAACTCCTCAAATGCTTAGATTCTTTTACACTATTGCCCTTTGTCAGTAAATTATGTTTGTAAAGGGAATACAAGGATTCAATTTTTGTCTTCTCTTTTGGGAAAATTGATTTACTAGATTGAGTAATAATCATTGTTTAATAATTTTTAGTGCTACTTTATGATAATAATGAGTGATACATTTTAGGGCCCTGTTTCCTCAGAAAGTGCATTTAAACTGGCACGTATCTGAAAGCATGGCTTTAAGAAATAATACTTTATTTATTCCATTACAGATGTAATAATGATCTTCTAAATATTTGGATATTCCATGTTTTGTGCACACCTTTCTTGTACCCCAAAATATTGCTAGATTACTAAGGAAAGTGTTTACAAAACATTCGTTCAGTTAAAATAAGCCAAACAGCAGAACTTGTAAACATATGTTGTCAAATACATACTGACAAATATCCTTGCCTTTTTAAAGTGTTTTCTTCCAATAATAATAATAATAACAACAACAATAATGGGCACTATTATTTTAACCATAAAGCCAGTAGTCTTTAAAAGTCATTTGCTAAGTGTTAACCTGAACTTAAATTAGGTCATTAAAAACAACTTGATGGAAAAGAGGCAAATATAAAGTATAAAGCCAAAAAGTTTTAAGTTATTAACATTCTGAACAAAAGCTCACACAGCAGGTGATAGAAAGAGAAATATGGACTTCATGGTGTGGAATTTTATAATGCTAGGAATGTATTTTTAAGGTTTTAAATTAACCTTTTTCTCTACCATCACCTCTGACATGTAATATTATTTTGGGGTTTTGCTACTATTATTGTTTGGATTTTTTGTTTGTTTGCTTTCTTGTTTGCTTTCAGAGACAAAGTCTCACTCTATACACCTGGCTGACCTGGCTCTTGTTTTATAGAACTTAGGGTGATCCTGTGCCTCTACCTCTCAAATGCTAGAAATACAGGCAAGCACCACATCACATATGTTGTTTTAACCATCTCAAACAGAATTATTAGCATATCATCTCAAATTTTAGACAAAATTCAAATTTTATTATTGTCATGACCTACAAATTTTCAAAAAATTAAAATAAATACTCTCCATTTGTTGATAGACAGTGATTTGCTGTGTTGCTGAGCTGGTGTTGATCACCTACACTCAGTCAATGGGACTGCCCCAGTGTCCTGAGTAGCTGAGACTATTGGTGTAACAGACTGGATCTGTCCTGCTTTCTTTCTTTTATACTCTTGAAATCTAGAGTATGTTCTATATACTTCTTACTAAGATCGCATCAGTTTGTAGCACATCTATTGTCTTCTTGACACTGAGTTTAGGTAAGAACTAGTTGATAAAGAAGTGCTATACAGTGCCTATGTATTTACCTCCTCTCCTCTTACTATCTTTTAGAAAAAACAGAAAAACATTTTAAGAATAGGAATTCAGAGCTTTGGTTCACCATTATGGGGAGATGACATTTGCTGCACAGAAAACTGTAACAACAGTCACAGGCTTACCAAGTTCCTCTATGTTCTTCGTGGTCTTCTAAGAGCTTCACTATCAGCCTGTATCATCACAATGCCAACACATCTGATCCAGGTAAGACGTGTTGTCTTCCTTATCCAGTGGAGAAATGGAAGATATCGTGTCTTCAATTTTCATTTCCGTCACCGCTAATGATACTGGCCATCGTTTTATGTGCTCATTTGGCTATTTGAATGTCTTCTTGTTTTTTGTCCATTTTTGTGGATTAATCTTATCGTCAATTTGTAAATTTCTTTATATTTATTTAACAATGTTCTTTCAGTCTGTGTCATCCCTTTTCTTAATAGTCTTTTGAAAATACAGGGTTTAAATCTTGATGAGTTTCAATAATTTTAATTTGTCATCTCCCTTAGCCTTCAGTCTTACTGATCTTGGCCTCTCTTAAGAGCTTTTCCTATTTTCTTCTAAATATTCTGTACATTTCTTATATTCATGAGTTAATATATTCCTCTTTTAATCTTTTACATAATTTTAATTTGTACTTTTAATCAGGTTCTAGTTTCTACCATTCTAATTATTCATTAAGTAAATGAGTGATGAAACTTCACTGGTCCTCTTTTCACTCTGGACCTGGAAGCAGTCCTCTGCTATACTGGAATTATAGATGTGTATCATTGTGATCAACAGTCTTTTTTTTTTTTTTCCACCCAAAGGATTTTATTATCTCAGTCTTAATTTCATGTGATCTTAAGTATCTTATATGAAGGCAAGACCAGACTTCATGTGACTTTATAATAATGTAATATTAATATAAGCAAGAACTTATTTGTATAACACCTGTTTTTTTCCTAGAGAGATGATTAGTAAATGTGAGTTGAATGAATATTGATTCTCACTTGGAAAATTATTTTTAATAGCTAATTATTGAAACTACACATATGTTTTTGTTCTAATGTACCTAGACCATTCCAGCAAATGATAAATGGACTAAAATATCATTGAGTTACATTATATATATATATATATATATATATATATATATATATATAGTAATGCAACATATCTCACTGCTATGACTAAAAATTGAGGCATAAAAAACAAGAGAATTTCTACTCACTGGGCAGTAGAATTTATTTTTAATAAACATGATAGGTTAACTCAGGTTTCCTTTACAGATTTTTAACAGATGATTATTAAACATAAGTTGTTTTTATTATGTTAATAACAAAATATTATGTATCTTTATGTTATTACTATGATATCTTGAATCTGTATAAATATTGTAGGGAAACCTCTTTCTCTAATAGTGTTAGACATGCTGTACATGCTTGTTGTGTTTTCATTGTTCATCATGTTATTGTAAACTAAATACTTCAGTAGTAGCTTGGTTACACATGGAGAAGTTGTTGCTTTTGATGATAGATCTGAAGCTACAGGTGAATCTTCATGTTTTCCCTGCAGCTACATTGTGGTTGCAGCTACTGATGAGGCATTGTCTATGGATCTTTACCACAACCCCTTAAGAATTGATAATCTAAATAGAGAGATTTGTCAAGAGTTAAAATATTCAGTTTGTCAATGCAATAGAAGTTCTAAGAGAGCAGCTCAGAGGAAGGCACCTGCTTGGTGTGCTGGAAACTCTGGCCGCCCCTACTAACAGCACAAAGATAGTTCCCTGACCCTTTTCATGAAAAGCACTTGGCTGTATCCTCTCATCAGAAAACACAGATACATGGCTGTCTGTTTTGTAGTAGCATAAACTATACAAGACTCACATCAGTTTTCCACCATGCTCAGTACTATTTCTGGAGTCTTTAAGATACTTTAGATGATGATTGTGTGACGAAGGTCAATTTTGCTCATTCAGTCACTCATTCATTCATTCATTCAAATATAGCAACCATGATAAGTATCTATGGAGATAACACATTGAAAATGACAAAAACACAAAAAAATTAATATGAGTGTTTGTGGATTACGTTTGGTTTTTTGTTGTTGTTCTGAGTGTTTTGAAGTTTTTGGTAGTTTTTTTTTCCTCTGTGTGTAGGGTGGGTGTATGTCTGTGTGTGTGTGTCTCTGTGTGTGTGTGTATGTTGGATATTTGAGCTTTGGTGGTGATAATTGTTTCTGTCAGGGAAAAAAAAATGTCATTTGATATCCTGGGAAATTTTGTCATATAATTAAGCATCTTTAAATTAGCACTAGACTAAGAGTATATAAAATATTTTCATCTCTTGGAGTGGTAAAACAGCCAATCAGTGTTCTTATCTTAGTTATTAGCATTCTGTCAGACTTGTACAGTAATGATTAGTTACCCTTTATTGTACTTTTGGCATGCTTCCCATGTTTAATTTCATTGTAGGGAAGGAACACATAGTTAAGGAAATTGCAAAAGAGAGGGAGAAGTTAAAATAGGGAAAATAATAGATTCAAAACTGATTTTAACTTATTGTTGTAATGATACTTCTCAGCAGAATGAACAAGGGTGATTTTAAAGTTCTTATTTGAAGTATTTTATGTTCAGTCTCACAACTTTAAACTTGAAATTTTTTAATTCCTTTGAATTAAAGTTTATTTTTATAAAAGCACAATAGAAGCTGATGAGTGTACTTTGAAATAAATGTGTAAAATTAAGTTATAAATATCTTCTTAAAGGACTAAAATTATTTAGCAAGTACATTCTGAATGTCTTCAAACATACATGTAGTTTTAAAAATAGTTTTCCTATGAAATAGTATTATTGCTCATAACTCTCTTGCTAGAATATGGTTTAGTATGTACCCAAAGACATTGTCCTAAAATGTATGTGAAGATGGCTCCATTGACTTAAGATTCTTGTTACATACTGAACTGTGGGGTGCAGTGTGACTAGGGGCAGAGCCACTGTAGTGCCCTATATCCCAGTCTTACTTCATTCCCACATCCCTGCTGAGTAGTTGTTCCACTCGCCAAGAAGCCTGTTAAAGAGCCCCCGAGAGCATGTGTACAGCCCTCCATGTTAATAGTTAATTGGTGAGGATGGCAAGATGAGAGGACAGCCGAGCATGTGGTCTCTCAGACTCGGGCAGTAGACAGGCCTTTAGTGACAATAACAGCAGATGCTCATATTCTCACAGCTTAACTGTTCCACTCTTGTTGAGGCAAAGTTATAGACTGAAGGAAAAAAAACAAAAACAAAGGTTATATAAGAAAAGTAACTCACTCTTTAAACTCTTCTATATGTTAAATTATAAGAATATTTTAACTTTCAAATTTTCACATATAAATTTCTATATGAATCTTATTATTATCCTCCAAGTATGTTAAGCACACTACTCCTGCCCCCCCCATTTGTTTTGGGGAACAAATGTTCTTCCCCTTTGATGACTTTTACCAAGATTTACTTTTGGCAAAGTAACTAAGATACTTTAAAATTGGACATTTTGATTTCCATATCTAGTCAGATATACACCTTCATTTCTTTCTGATATATAACTATTGGTGAGATTTGTTATCTATTTCAAAATAAGTAAACTTTTTATGCCTTTTATTTTATTTTCAATTCTGCAGACAGCTGTAGGCTTGTGAAAAATGAGAACCAATATTTCTTTCAGGAAATTAACTTAGTTTTGTGCAAAAATAAAGAGAAAATAATTTCCTGTAGCTTGTACACTTCTCAAACAGCCTATGACAGGTTTTCTTTGGTTTGTACATTTTTTATAGATTAAAAACACTTAAACCTAAAACTGGCAGGAAGTAAACACCAACACGCTTGGTATTGAAATGAAAGGATATTTTCCTATGCCTTTCCCACAGCTGTTCTGGGAGCAGAAGCAGGGAGGGACCTGTGTGTTCAATATATGTGAACTGGATACAAAAAATGGGGGGAGGATCTTTTACATTATTTTTACATAGTTTCTTATATTCAAGACAGAAATAGAAGTCTAGTTTAGCATTTATTTCATGAATGAAATTATTAAGTCTTTTATCCTTTGTGTTATAAGTTATCTGAAGAATTCCTGTGAGAAAATTAGGACTTTGAATTATTTCTGTTTTCTTACTCAGATGCTTGCCTTTCTTTAAGCATGCTTAGTGTCTTTGAAAAGTGATATTCATTTATTAATGCTAAAACAAGTATGCTTTTTCATTTTTCATCACTGCTAGTTTTTTTTTAATCAGTGTTGTCACAATCTACACTCTTTAAGGAATTTTCCAACATAAACAACTTAAAATACTCCTTTAGCTGTGACAATGCAGGGATGAAAATCCCTTGCTATTGCTTAGAAAACTTCAGTGCCTAAACTGGTTAAGCTTTCTTTCTTTTTTTCAGAACAGATTGCAAATTTGAAACTAGACTGCAACATATTTTTATTGTCACTGGAATCTGATTACTTGATATCTGTATCTGGTATTTTTATCACATAGTTTCTATCTTCCAATGATATGATCCTTACAATTTTTATTCCAACTTCTCATTGAACAAAATTTAACCACTGGTATTGGGCTCATACCAAAGAAAACACATTTCCTGATTTTACAAAAAGGTGGATGGGAGGAGAACCCTTTCTCTTAAAAAAGAAACAAAAAAACAAAACTGACAGGTTTAAATTGTTATCTTAATTAACAGCTTTTTAGATTAGTCGATAATATTAATATACTAGAGCTTTGAAGCCACTGAAGTGAATCATGTAGAACATTTGTCTATGGAGAAACTTTCCGTCTGTAACACTGGGTTCAGTGCCGGAATTTTACTACCTAAACCGAGTCAAGCCATGACTGTTTTACAAATCACTAATATGAAATTTTTGGACAGACTTCAATGCTCTTCTAAATTTATCTTTTATTTTTACTTAAGTCAGAAATAATTCTTATTCTTAAATAAGAAGTAAGATGGTAAACGTGTCTGCTATTGACCCTAACAATTTGAGTTTGGTTGCCAGAATTTATCTAGTGGGAAGTAAGAACCAACTCCTGCCAAGTTATCCTGTGACCTCCACGTATATAACATGGCACACATGTACACATATACAAACAGATAGATCGGTGATAGACAGATAGATAGATGTGAATGCCCATATATATACAAATAAATAAATGATTGAATGAATGACTGAGGTCTAATTTAAAGAGTTAAG